ATCTGGTTTGTCCATCGATCATTTAGTTTAAGCCAATGAAGATCTGTCTCTTATACACATCTAGATGTGTATAAGAGACAGGTACAGTGAATATTTTGAAAAGGCATGAACTCAACATTTATGATGCATGATAAATCTTGAGTTCATGCCTTTTCAAAATATTCACTGTACCATATTGAAACTAGTGCATTTATATTGATTGTCAAAAAATCATTCTGATATGAATTATAGTTTGAAATTTACATTTGAATTTATACGACAGTGCCTGTTGCTGATAATAATAATAATAATTTGGATTTGTAAAGCGCAAAATACATAGGTCTCTGTGCGCTAGAAATTAAATAAACAAATTAAACAAATTAAAATAAACTAAAGAGATGAGTCTTGAGACGAAGATATATTGACAAAAATAATTGGAAACATCGCAAAAATGGAGATCCAATATTCATCTATACTTTTATGTATTTTATACAGTATAACATACAGAAATTTTCTTTCAATTTACCCATCGACAATCAAAATCTACTATGCCGTAAGGCAAGGTGGTATTATAATGTTCCCTTGGAGTTTTGATAGGGCACATTCTTCTCAAAGTATTAATTGTGTTTACTGTAAATGCTCGAATAAGAGCTGCACCAACGTTACATATTTCACTAAGCACCAGTTTCGAATATGCGAGAGTTTGTTTGCTTGTTTGTAAGTAAAAGAAACTGTTTGAGAAACAGGATTTTAAATACAATGTATACAGTGTTAAAATGAATAAATAACACAATGAAAACCCAAAGCATCCCGCCAATATTTTTTATAAGCGCCGCTCACGAATAAGCACCGCACTGAAGCCTCCAAAAATGTGCCTCAGCGCTTATTCGAGCATTGGTATGGTAGATCCAGTGGTATTAAACTAGCTATCTAGAAACACCTTTATAAGTGTATAACTTATTTTTTTGAGAAAATATACACATACAGTACTGTACTATACACTTGTTATACTGTACTTATTAATAGGTCCATGGAAATACACTGATACTTATTTAGTAGTGTGAACAATGGTATAAAGTTTTACCAATGTAGTTGTTAAAAATTTTGAAATCAATGATTGTTTAAACCTCTACATAAAAAATATTTCTTTGAAAATTGATGGTAGTGTTGCATTCCTATATATTTTGAGATTTTAACAAAATACTATAATTAATAATTTAAATAAAAGGAATGAGCTGAAAGTAAAATAATTTTTATTTCAATATCAACAAGGAAGTATCCTACAATAGAATTGAATGGTGGCCTAAAACCAAATTTAATCATTTATCTGTAACAGGACCACCTAGAAGGGAGTAACAATGGTGTTCAGTGCAGTAGTCATTCACCATCAACCAACAAAAATACTGTACTATTATATAATATAAAAAAAAAAAAGATTTTCAATTTCTGTTTCAAGGTCTTTTTTTATTTGTTTTTTACTAGAAATTAATAGCATATGGACATTTAACTGGGAAGGGGCCAGATACGACTGACCCCACCAAGAAACTTATTGATCGGATTGTGGAAACTATATGTGGATGTTTTATTGGGACGCAGACTGATGAAGGCGTTCAGCTTCAGATCATTAAGGTTAGTATGTATTTCTAAAGAAGCTTTTACAGTATGTGACTGTCATGACTAAATAAGTACATCTTCAGTGTTCCATTTTAATGAAATGCATTTCATACATATATTGTTGACTGACTTCTTTTTTAAATTTTGTTCGATGACAGAATAATCAATGGCTATAATATGAACTTCTTTCCTACCCATACCTAAATTTTTTGTGTTTCAAGATTTTCACATCCATGTTTTTGTGTGGGAAATTATTATAAAATCTATAATAATAATGGTAGACTTATATAGCGCATATTGTTAAGCCCTCTATCGGCTTCACATTATCATTACCCCAGTCATTGGATAAAATGCCTATGGAGCACAAACTCAAGCTTCCTGGGGGGAGTATTCTATAACGTTGCAGTAGCTAAATTGGCGCATCTTGGCATTTAACTCTACCAGGTACCCACTTAAGCTCCAGGGTGGAGAGAAGCAATGCAGGTAAAGTGCCTTGCCCAGTGATACAAGTGAAATGCACATCAAATGAATGAACCCAAACATCTAGGTTGGGAAAACAAACTGTTCCCGCTGCGCCAAACCATTTCTTACATGAGCATATTGTAAAATATTTTCTTGTCGCTTGTATCCCCCAGGCTCTAGGTATTGTGTGCTACTGGTTTTGGGTGTGTTAAGATATTCTCTAGACCCTATTATTAGAGATTTCTGTAAATGAAGTGCTAAGTGCTGACAACAATCAGTAGGCTATTGTTCATTAGACTTTATATCCGTTTTGCTTATAATATGTCTGGCGTTTTGTCACAAAGCTCTTTGTTTCCTAGCAGTTCATGTTGAGAATGTTTAGTGATCATGCTTTCTAAACATGACTCTTGAGCGATCAACAAAACGTTCTGAATGTTTACAAGTTGAACAAGCATGTGTCTGCATGTTAATCAGTTCGAAATTATCTACTCAAAGACTATACTACAGTATTCAAAGATAATTTAACATTTTAATCCATGTAAAAACTTGTTTAAGAGAAATATTCATGAACCAATTTGTTAGGTAGTGCTTTGTTTGTAAGATATCCAAACCTATTTTTGAAATATTTTAAATACCATGGATCTAAGAAACTACAAGGGTTGAGAAGCTAAATAAAAATGTCCAATTCATATTCATTTATATAAGGTGTCTGATGACTTGTACTCTCTGATTTGAGGATTAACCCCCTGCCCCACTGGCTTCGTCACTGACCACCCTCTTCAACCATACTAATAGCCTATTCATTTTCCCCCCCAATGATTTGTATTATTATACAGTAATTTCACTAAAAATAAATTGGCTCTATCTTTGAGTTTGGCTCCCTATAGTGAGATTACAACTGGGTGGTGTTAGGAGTTTTAATCAAAGTTTTTATATGATGTGGATTAATAGAAGTTAATGTAAAATATTATAAACATAGATTTCTGTTAGACAATTCATTCTTGAAGTATTTTTCATTCCATCACACATTGGACAAAATTGATAGACTGTAATCAGCCAGAAAATTATGTCAGGGGATTACTGAAAAAATAGGAAATGAAAATTATATAAAATAATGAAAAAATAATATACAGTATGAAATATACTGTAAAAAGCACATCTCTATTATTACACTTATTTCTTGTATACAGCCAAAAACCTGTTTGATTGAATAAAAGAACAAAGCATCTTTGAATTTTTGGAGTAAATTTGTGTGAATTTTCTAGGGAGTGTACTGTACCATGGAGAAAGCTTTTAATTTTTGGAATACATCTAATTAAATTGTAATGTAGATTATCATGTTTCGGTCATGAAAGTGGCCACAACATGTTGTTAAACAAACACGTACGTGTGCTGCTTTATATCGAACTAGTGAACATGTAAACAAATATTTCTCTTGTTTTTCAGTTTTTAGCTTTCAAGCATTCTAAACTTATATTAATGCTTGTGGTACACCACGTAGCCTATACAGTACCATTCTTATAGTTAGTTTACTGTACAAAAATGTACATAGTAAATACATGGTAATTCAAATTCTAATCTTTTAAACCATTTTTTAATTTTAAAAAGCACTGAGTTATACAGTGTAGTATTGTAAATACTGTACCTACAGTAGTGATATTTAGCTAGCAAACGTTTTGCAACTATACAGTTCCATTCTTTAGTTAGTGTACTGTACAAGAAAGTACATAGTAAATACATGGTAATTAAAATTTTGCAAAATACTAGACAAGTAATATTTTCCTTAAGTTGGGCCAAATGTAATTTGAACATACTGTACCAGTAATAACAAATTCCCCAATTATAGACAGCATCACTCTTGAATATGGGCCTTTCTCAAATAAGTGCTACTCTATAATATGTAATTGCTGTAGTATTTATTCACTCATATATTTGCTGCGAAGCAGCCAATTCATATTCTTGACAGCCATTTGACCTCTGAAAGGTCATTGTTTGTCAAAAAACAATGGCCTAAGACGACTGAAAAGCGGAGTTTCCTTCTTTCATTCTGTCGGGTAAAATCAATTACTTTAGGCGACGTTTGTAGAATAACCAACACGTACCAACGTCCGCATGTCGCGCTAGCCTTATCCTACTCTAGGCCTAGACTAGCTAGGATGGCGCTAGCCTTATCCTACTCTAGGCCTAGACTAGCTAGGATGGTATAGGTCTAGCCTTGAA